ATCTGGATCGAACCCAGCACCCCAGCGTTACAAAGTGCGTTCGCAACGTCTAAACCACATAGGACAATAAACCACTGTATGTGATATTTAAAACACAAAGTTTGGTATTTAAAACGTATTGGGATGTGTGAAAAACATATAGTGTTACCCGAAATGTGATATGTGAATCACAAAAAGTTAAATTTGAAACACAAAATATTATATTTTAAATATTGCGTATGATATCTGAAACACAGTATGTGATACTTGAAACATATATGCTGCGTGAAACAGCAGAAAGACAAGCATAGCTCAAATAAACAGCAGCACACTGTGTGAAACTGTTTATGTAATGTCACAAATAAACAGCAACACACTGTGTGAAACTGTTTATGTAATGTCACAAATAAACAGTGTGATTATTGAAACAGAAATTGTGGTATGTGAACTTAAATGTGATGTTTAGAATTTGAAATGCAATATATGTTATTTAAAACACGCTATAATTTCTACATGCTGAGGTCCCTATTAAGCATCCCCAGTCCCCCTCTCCCACTTCCCCCATAATTGTGTACGGGTACTATGAGATCCCCTTTAACCATAAATATGCATTTTCTTGCAAGGTATTTGTTTGTACCGCATCTATATTAAGCCACCTGTAAACTGACGCAGGAAAATTGTCAACAACAAACAGCTCAATAAAACTGCAGTAAACATTGTATCCATACCTCCCTCGAAGTTGAAGTATCTCTGCCGGTGAGGCAGGGAACGGCAAACAAATTAGCCCGTAAAACGGATGTACACGCAAAACTCAGGTCCAGGTAATAGTGAAAACTCCAAATGGACAAACTACCGGGACCTTCTGCCGGAATTCAAAGCCGGTGAACGCGAAGAACAAGATGAATGATATATACCGCATGTTAAAGAATTTGGGCAGGGTAAATTCCACGCCCAACGTGGTTTACTGTGGTGCAAGATTTACAATGAAGTGGTTGATTACGTTAGACTCAATACTATAATTAATCATCTTTGGGACATTAAAAAAAAGCAGACTGATAAAAAAAAAAGCAGGCATCGCGAAAAAAAAAAAAACACACACACACACACACACACACACACACACACAGAGAGAGAGAGCTTTGCTAAAGTTTACATTCCGTTGCCGATCTCCAAGTCTTAGTCGAGGTTTTAACTTCAATGCAATCGGGTTTCACCGTACTTGCTCTGTTCTTGTGCCAGTGCCAATCAATTGAAGTGTCCCTCACTGTGCCTTTGAAAAACTGTTAAACAAACATTTAGTCCCGGAACAATCTAAAATTATGTGCACGTAGTAAATGTATATGGCAATTGCTAGAAGTGCCAAAACCAACAACCGCCACTAGAAACGCATTTTGTCGTTGATGGAAATAGTCAGGCACGATAAGTTTGCTGGACAAACAAACGTAAACTGGCTAACGGTCATATTAAATATCACGACTCAGCCCATAAACAAATGATAGACATTCCAAATGAGAAACATGGCTACAGCAAGCACTAAACTCAGTAGCACAGGCAGGGAAACTGAAGACAACCGTCCATACGTGAAAACTGCATTAACAAAGCGCTGTCAGAAGCAAACAATAACTTCGAAGCTTAACATTCTGCCATGTCTAACCCCCATATTAAACCGGAAGTTCTTTAATCACCTCTGCTGATGTAGAACGCGAATTCTCGAAATATGTATGAGTGTTATCACCACTGCGCTATTCTATGCCACAAGAAAACCTACGACCTCAAAGCGCCTTTTAATTCAGTAATAAATCAACAGTAACATTAGAAATATGATTCAATAGTTTGTTGAGAACAATGTTACATATGTAAGCAAATCTGTGGATCAAAATGTACGAATGTGGAACCATTTGATCTACCTGTTTGTTTATGATCACTGATAGGAATAATACAAATTGCTTTTTACGAATCAATCTCAAGGTTAATGTATTTGCCGCGCCGTGGTAAGTCGCGGAATTTGATAAAACATGCTGATGAATTAGCGAGTTCTTGTCGTTGTGAATTGTGGGCCGTACTAATTATTTTGGCAGTCTAACACAGTTACAACGCTGGTGTAATATATTACATTCTTACTGATATCAAAAGTTTCACAATTTGTTTGTTTACATACTAACGCTTGTCAAAATATCAGATGATCAAGAGGTTTGCAGAGTTCTGATTGCTCGTGTCTGCTGTCGGCCAAAAATTTGTAAAACAAAATATGAAGAAACAGAAAATGAGCAGAAGTGAGAATAGGAGGAGGAGGAGAAAAGAAGAAGAAGAAGAAGAAGAAGAAGAAGAAGAAGAAGAAGAAGAAGAAGAAGAAGAAGAAGAAGAAGAAGAAAATAACAACAAGTACGAGTGGTTAGGGATAAGAACAGGTGTATGTGAAAATTAATAAATGAAAAGAAAGAATGCGTTGGGATTGATGACACTATACATTACCTATTAAAGCAATAACAATGACCGTCCCAATTGTGTTCATTTTGACCATCACCTGTTATTCAACAACGGAAAACTACAGTTCTGAAAAATCCTCTCAAACGTGCCCCTGTCCCTCAGCAACGAATGTGTACACAAGCCAGTTAGTTCATTCTGCCACGAAGCGAGACGCACCACACTGGTTACAACACTCTTTCGTAGACAGTCGTTTTTGTTCAAGAAAATGTGTAACATTTATCTCTTGTGTCTGAATTCTTTCCAAACTTAAGCGCACTGTCCATCCATTATCTTGACAGTGCTATTTACATACAAGTATATACGTAAGACTGACATAAAAAAGTGCACGGTGTTTGTAGAGTTTGTGTCCTCTTAATAAATGTTTACCTTAGCCTCCTCCGTACAGTCTTGATTTGTAAAAGAATATTTAAAAACAAGAAGACAGGCTTCATTACACCGGGTGTTATCCCATATTTATGTTTCGTTCTTTCCACATACCATTAGTCGTCCCTGAAAGAATCTCAGTAAACACCAACTCCGTAGGTCCAACGACGATCCCTCAGTGTCTCCGTAACAAGCAATCAGGTGCCGCCTCCATTAAAAAGCTTGACTGCAATGAATCTCCAACACTCTGTTTCTTATTTTGATAGTACTGTCATATTGGTGTTCGTCCATCTCTCGATGTTACTCCCACACTTGTATCGTTGTCTGACTTTTGCTCGCTTGCTTTCAGCTGTTCCATCCTTATAATATGGCAGAAGTATTTAAATTTTTTTTCTTACGTAAATATGTTTTCAATCCTTTCTTCGGAACCCCTGTATTTACACTCCTTAATTTATTTAAATTGGTTTATTTCGCATCACCTTTTCCTTTCCCTTTATTTTACAGTCATTCACGTGATCGCTGTGTGAGGACTAGTGGAGTAAATTGCCACTTGTTGCTGTTGTGGTTTCTGTAGAGAAAGGCTGCGACCGAAAGGTGAGATTTTTCTTGTGTGTGTATGTCGTTTCCATTTCCTCCCTCGTTAAGCTTCTTTGTCGCAGCTCAGCAGATTAACATATATATGTGTTCGGTTATTTTCTATGAATTGCGTCCCTTGCTTTGTAATATCCATATTTCCAGGCCACTGAGCTGGTCTCTGCATCACATAGCAGGACTGAGCTTACATAACATTTGTCTTCCTCATCTTAAAAGGGAGGTTGACATGTTGTGGTGTACAGCTAGACCGCGATATATGCGCCTTTCTGTCCATCAGATTTCTTCAAACTTCTAATTAGTCGCCTTTTGCGACGTGCTTATTGAGTTATGCGGACGATATGACAGCAGACCGTCTTGTGTTATTTTCGACAGTTGTATCAAGAGCCGACAGTTTTGAAGGCAATGACAAACTACTGAACGTAAATTTGCCAATTAATGCTGTGGTTGGTTCTGTAATAACCTGTCAAGGACAGGCAACTAGTTTTTTTATTTTTTTTTTATTTGGTAATTAAGATGTATTGGGTCACACCCCACCCCCCCCCCCCCCCTACCCCACTACCCCCCCCCCCCCCCACCCCCCTACCCCCATTTTCAATCCTGGCCTCAGAACCCACACAAGGAAACTTGAGGCAGTTTTCATTTTTTCCTGTGTTGTTTACCTTGCTAAAGTAGAGCGTCTCACATTTTTGTTTTGTTTTGTTGTTAATTGTTGTTGTTGAAATATTTAAGGTATACTTTTTATGCAAACTTATTTTTGCTCTACAATGATTCATTCTGCTTGCGAACCAGAGGTTAAACTAATCCGTTATAAGAGGGATATAAATAAATACATACATACCAAAATTATAATAATGAAATATTTCACGACACATCATATCTCATGAATACCTTTCTCATATACGAAGAAATAGTTATACTGTATTCCAACACTCATCATCATGTAGCAGGTCCTTTGCAGAACGTCGCTCTCATCACAGTCTGCCTGTAAGAAACTCGCCAGCTCTCCCACCTCATGTACTTCCATACTCAAGGAGTCACTTATTTCCTGTGCCCATCTTCGTGTCGGTCGGCCACTGTCCCTACTTCCTGGTACCATGCCTTCTGCTATGTTTTTTTCCCCCAATCCGTCGTGGCGCTTGATATGACCAAAATATTTCAGCTTCCGAGACAGAATGCTGTTTATTAGCCAATCTTCCTTGATGTTCAGATCTTTCAAGATGTCAGTATTTCTCATCTTCTTTGTCCAAGATATTCTGAGAATCTTTCTATAGCATTTCAGCTCAAAAGCCCCTATTCTCTTTCTTAAGGACTGAGTGATAGTCCACGACTCACATCCGTATGTTGCCACAGGGAAGATGCATGCTCTCAAAATTCTAATTTAGATCTCCTTGCTGTGCTTAACCATAGACTTTTAAGGCTGTTTAATCTTTGCATTGCTATTGCACTGCCATCCTCCTTTTAATTTCTGTCGAACAGTCTCCATTGCTGTTTATTATAGAGCCTAGATATTCAAAGTTTGTGAAATTTTCAATTTCTTCATCATTTATTTTTTTTTTTTTTAGATGACAGCCAGTTTTTTTCTGTGGACATTATTTTCGTTTTCTTTAAATTCAAGAACAAATTTTGATCTTCACTGTGCATTCCAAGACTAAAGCAATGTTATAAGTTATGACAAACGGTAATAACACATACTGCTGCGATGCGTGCCGATAATTCACTACCCCTTTGTTTCATACATTTCTGGCACGGCCTGTTTTCTGGCAACCGTTACACTGGCAGCACAACAAGCAGCAGCACAAGAAGTCATGGTGTCAGACTCCATGGATGTGCTTTAGAAAATTACAACAGGTAGGTCCATCTTGAAATGCGTAGACAACATTCGGAAGTCACACTCAACCTCCTTCCCCTGGATCTACACACGTGGTCATGACAGGGTAATAGGTAATAAACGAGGGCAAGTAATGGACTTTCCTGTCAATATGGCGGGTAGGAAGTTTTCTGTTTTTAGTAACGAAAAGTTTTGCTTATGACGAAAGTTAGTCTCTGTATCTTCCTCCATATATAGACTGTATGAATGTATTTCCGTCACCCAGCTACTGACTTGGGTACATGGACGACACTGTGAGCTGCGGATTTCATTTGAAATGCTTTTCGACTGTGCCTAACGTGGTTTGTGTGGTATACAGGAACATTTTCTGAAAATTGCTTGTTGCCAGAGATCCCATAGTGTCTTGCGCGATTAAATGCGTGTGAAACTACTGATCTAATATAACTGCTGCTTCCGCCAATGATGAACTGTCTTTCTATTGACAGACTGTTGGTGTTGGCACTTCTGAAAGCTTACTTACGTATTTAATACCCGTGTATGCTACTGGTTTTGCTGAGACTGCAGTCTGTGTCCATTTTCTGCACAAATGATAGAGATGCACATTTTGTGTGGTTTTCATTGGCACAGGAATTGAGCAACTGTGGCGTGAACCGTTTGCTATTGTAACAGGGTGACAATGCACTTTAGCCCGTTAATAATTCTGGTCTGGCTGCACTTGGGAAGTAAATCTGGCGTTTTCGTGAAGGGTATAAAGGTCTTGTGTAGCGCGAGAAGTCTCTCTTAGCTTTCACCCTAAGGACAGATTGTCCCACCCATCGTAGTTCATGGCTTTTAACACAACTTGGGTTCAGGTCGGTAGGTGAAGATAAATGGATTGGCTCACTGATTTCATTTATGTGGTGCGTTTCAATAGTTAGACGGTGTTAGATGTAAATTTCCTACAGCAGTTAAGCTGTGTTAGATCTAGATATATGTGTATCATCACTCAAAGATATGTGATTTCAGGTAGCTGGAATCGAACTTTTATATTTTGTTAGCTGAAGTGCTTATGTGTAAACACGATGTTAATTGTTATTGTTTTTGTAATATTGAAGCACGTTCGTTTTCATGTTGAATGTAATGGTTAAATTCATTTGTTTGATTCAAAATATAACTTGTAGTTCGTGCACCTGGTCTGGCTGGGCGTTGCCTATGTAGTTATATGTTGTAATCGTGTAACTCATTAGACACATATTCACTGCCTGTGCTATCAGCAACATTCATGGTCCCTGCACAGAAGAACCCTTGTCTTTTCTTTATTGTTTTTGCAGTTCAGCTGAGAATTACTTATTGCCCTAACCACATTTCTGTCCTCCCTCCTACTCGCTTTCGTTTTTCGTCTTTCCGCTAGCTCCATGTGAAGTTGGAACAACGATTACCTTATCACACCTGCAAGTAACGCACCAATACATGCCAGCGAAAACACCAACAGAGCGGATATTATCAACACTGTGGGGACTAAATATAGTCAGTTGTACATCCTTTACTGGACGTGACAAACCAACCCCAGAATTTGTTGCCTGTTTGTAGTTTTTTCCCTCCCTCATTTAGTAGTTTGCCATACATCAACGGTCTACACTGCATAGCATAGTCAATCAAAACCCAGCGATCTGCTTTCTGGCAGTAGCTGGAATCGAACTGGGTACTTCGGAGTTATGAATCAGTCGTAATCCCTAAGTTATAGACGACCTGACCAGGCTGGTAGATAATGGATTGTCTGTGACGCTAACACGACTACGTGATCTGGAAGTATAGCCTAGTGAAGTACGTCTACGTCGACTTTGGTGTAAAGGAAGGAGACATTATGCTGCACTCAACTTGTACAGGAAATGTCAGCGGAGGGCCTTTGGGGTGGTATAGATAGACGGAGCACACACAGCAATGCTCACATGTACAATAATGTAGACTGTGATAACAGAACATTACATGAGAAAGCACCGCTGCTGTTCTCAAGGGGAGCAACTATAGTCTGAACATACACTTTCAAGGAAGATAAGAAATGTATGTGTCTTTTAAATTGAAACAACATGTCTATCGCTTCTTCCAGGTTTCAGAGGAAAAGGTGGAAAGTGGAGGGAAAGAGGGGGGCCTTGTATATCATCGTTGCAGCAATTCTGAAGTGCGCCTTAGGTCACGTTAATTACGACCCTGCAGTGTGCATTGTGGCAGATGATAAATGACAGTAGCCTTGTCTGAACGTAAGCCGGGGC